AGAGAGAGAGAGAGAGAGAGAGAGAGAGAGAGAGAGAGAGAGAGAGAGAGATGAAAAAGGGAGGTGACCGAATGTGAAATCAGCACTGAACTCAAGCCACAAGCATCAGAGTATACCCTGCCTAGGTGGCTACATTCCGTAAGGATGTAGTGGATCTCCACATGGGTAAGCCAAAAGTCAGCCAGAGGATAAATGATGTATCGAACATTACTCTTTCACTGCTGAGCCGTAAACGTTTGATAAAAAGACGAAAAACATCCATTGTTAAGAGCGACCTAAATCACGTTAACAGACATCTTCTCTTTGGAAACGGAGACAGGTATACGCCAGGAAAAACTCCCCTTTCAGCTTTTTCCCAATCACCATATTATAGGTTACCCAGTTTGGACGACAAGTGTTTTGCTCAGCAGTGAAGATGTCAAAGGCAAGTCAGCATAAAAATGACACCACCGCCCCCCTTTTCCACCCTCCACAGCACAGTCTAGGATATTTGTATGACCAAAAAAAAAAAAAAAATAGATAAAAATAAGAAGCAAATCACATGCCAGTTGACATCAAGCACCAGCTGCCAGAAAAGGGAAAGCAGTACAGGAGAATATAAGAAAAGACAGGGCATCATAAACCAGTGTCAGAAAAATAGGACTTGGTCTTCCTTTCTGTCATACCATCCCGCTTGTAACGCGGTGCATTATTTATGCAGCGTGTGTTAGTGACATTGTCATCAACGGAATAAGCAACAAAATTAAATTAGATACGACATGGCGAGCAAATGACAAACATTGAAAAACTTGCGCGCGCCAGATAGTCCGTAAAATAGCTCATTGAAGGAAATCTTGCTCAAAATGGTATCAATGAGTAAAAGGGGGCAGTGGATAGAGACAGCAGACAGACAGTAAACATATTTTTTTAATGGCCACAGATTAACTGCCAAAATGAGACATTCAGACAAATGGTAGAAATTGTATGCTCATACAGGGTAAGCCAAAGCATGTGAACATGCCAATGAGCATTTGAATTTAGTAATGAAAACCAAGAAGAGGAGAGACAGAAAAATCTGACGAGCTGTACTGGGAAAAAGAAAATCACAAATTATTTGAGTCCAATAACACCCCCCCCCCCCCACACACACACACACACACACACACACACACACACCACACACACACCCAACACACACACACACAAACACACCCAAAACCTACCAGAAGAAAATAAAACATAGTGAATGATCAGGAAAAAATGACACTTTACTTACATGCAACTGGGTTTCACAACACTTAGTAAAAATATTGAATTATGTAGATGGCAGAAAGAGGATTAGAATGGAACCTTGGATTTTATGAATAGCTTGCATCATCAAGGCCATACTTTGGCACAATAGTGTACAGATTGCAAATACTTTCCAAGGTCATGTCAATACATGTTTTAAGTTTTGGTTCCTGCACTGGAAATGACTGCACTAGAACAGTCCAAATACAATTATAACTTAGTAAAGAGGTATTAAATGAAAAGTCTTTCTTACAGACGGGATTTTGTTTCAGTTGGACATGAATATAAAAAAGAATTTTGGATTCATTTAGAATATAATAATTTAACCTTTTGTAGAATACTACCCGGAAAAGGAGGGGACAAAACTCTCCAAGGATTACGGTGTAACAGATGCAAAGGACAGCAAAAAATTTTTTAAAATTAATTAAAGGAGCAGACCACCCCAAAGCACCCTAAAACCAAATATGAGCCCGCCTTTCTGCCATCAGAATATTTAAAGAGTAACCACAGAAACAGGAAAAAAGGGCAGAGAAATCAATGAGTCCATTAAAACAGGTACATGTCGCCATTTGGCACAACAACCTTGTCATAGACTCACTCAGACATTAAGGCGCACACATACATGCAATACACTGCTATTCCCCCGATAAACATAATGACCACTCTGAGTACTGTATCTAAATAGGGTGGGCACAGGACGAGACTTTTCAGAAGTCATACAGTTAAACTTTGAGGGCAATGACGTGAGGCCGCATTAACATGATTAACAGTTTCAAGTCCTAACAGAATGATGAATTGAAAGACCCGAAGACACAATTTTGCATTTGATGAGTAGCTCATGCCCTATTAAGACCCAGTAATCATTAGGAAAGCAAATAGCCAATGTTATGAGACTGAATACGCCAAAATTGCAACTTCTCTTTGTGTTGCTACTTCTCTGTTGTAGAGGCCAACCACAGAGTATACAGGGTGAGCAGGATACACAAGAGCAAACACTCACCATGGAGTACTGTGGGACCTTGGGCAACACCTGCTTCGCAAAGTTGCTGCTGCTGTCCAGCCGGTCAAACAGGCACTCGACCACCTCCAGCTTGCCCATCCTGACCTTGACCTCAAGCCTGCTCTCCAAAGATTTCTTCAGCTGGTTTATGTTCAATTGAACAGGCTTTGAAAGAAGTCTGGGGCGAATATCAGGAGCATTAAAACACAAAACGTCAAAGAATTAATTGCAAAGTGTTCAAGTTTATTTCAAAACCATGCACTCATGAAGCAATGTCACTATACATTTGAGGTTTTTTCTTTTTAAACAGATGGTTCATTTATTTTGTCATCAATTTCATTCAAGTTATTTATTTTGAGATGTATCTGGCAGACGAGTGCCTACAAGCTCTATTTTTGTTTGAGCATATTATGTTTTATGGTGCTATCAATCACTACAATTGGAGTTAAAAGCTTGCTTGTGGCAAAATTATAATAATTCAGAGAAACCGATATATCCATTTACATTAACAATTCAAAGACTTACAAGTAGTCATTGAAAAGACCATGTTATATCACTCAAATAGTAAAATTTCACAAATCATCATATCAACCAAGGGATGTAACCATGGCCACAGAACTGAATGAAAGGAGCCAAGAAATCAATGTGGTCACTACGACACCACTTTATGTTTTTGGCATAGCCATGTTGACGGAAGGGGACAAAGCAGTTCCAAAAATGTGAATTACCACAAAAAAGGAAAAAAATGCCTCAGTGGCATCTTTCCAAAAAAAATAAACTAAAAAAAAAATAATTTAAAAAATCAACAACTCATTTCTAAACTATTAACATAACTACAAGCTTTAAATCAAATGCAATATAATTACATTTTTGTCCAAAAATATTATCTTTTATACCATAAATGAAGCTGTATCAGCACTGCACTTCCAGGAAAATAAAACCTTATATTTCATATATGAAATATAAAAACTTGATCTCACACCTGAAATACCAGCTGTGTTATCAAAATTTGCATAAGTTACTCTGCGCACTTAATTCACCTTATAACCTTCTGTAAGCAAATTATAGACTTCAATAATAATAATATTCCTAGACTGTGCAATAAAACTTTGCTGCGAAATGCGCTCATCATATGCACCCAAATGTAGTGCCTAACACCAGCCTCCCAGTCTCGCTATAGTCAAGAGTATGCGTAGTAACCTTTCTCCATTGGTCTTAATTTTTTTCCAAACTGAGTAAAATGGCGGGCGCCATAGCGAATCGGGACTATGTCAGAGTGCTGTGAAGTATTAAAATGCAATGAACAAGTCTTTGCAAGCAAATGACTCCTAACCTTTTGTTTGCTTCGGTTGCGAAGTTTAAAATCAAAGTCAAGTCATTTCTATTCTTAAAACACCGTGGCTTATAAGTTTCTTAATCTTTCACCTTTTGAATCGTTCATAATCTGTTTGCTTTGTCTAAGTTTACGTTCATGTTGTTTTGTTTGGGGTTTATTTTGTGGAGGAAGACATGGATACTATTATATTCTATGTAATTAGTGTGGCTAAAAATAGAAGAAAAAATCCTGAGTTTTACTAATCCTCACTCTGACTCCAAAGAGCAGGAAAATTTTGTTTTCAAGTGAGACTCTCGGATGGGTCCTCTTGACCACTTGACTGGTCATTTGAACTTTGTTGGTCTGGAGCTATTTTGTCAGCTTGATATCAGTACAGTATAAAAAATCTATTACACTCATTAGGGTGGTAGACCATGACTGATCCTGCTTGTGAAATTGCCAGTAGTAGTCACTTGTTGAAACTCGTGATTATAACTTGGCAATTTCCATCGTTGGATAAATCATGATCTGCCACCTAGGTAGGTTAAAATTTTACCACCTGTTACCTATATTTTTCTCAAAACCGAACTAATAATCTTAAACATAATTAATTGTCCTTATTTTAGAATCTCTTTATGTCACCACATATTTTACCACTTAAAGTTATTCACCTTTTTAAGCTTTGAAAAGAAAAAAAACAAATTTTATCAAAGAAGGCACTTTGATTCTTCTGAGCATTTATTTTTGTAAAATCTACTCCAATATTATAATGCTGTCCTCAGAGAAATTCGCGCCCGCAACCCGCAACTTGCGCACGCAACTTTTGCCATTTTCGTGAATTAGCGAATTTTAGCCAATTTTCCGCAAAAGTTGGAAAAATAAGATTAAAATTTCTTTAAAAACACAGAAACTTTCTTCCACGACTTTAAATAACAATGCTAAGGGGGACAATTCACTCTTTTGCACTACGGGGAGCCCACCCAGTCGCTCAGTGCCCGCCCATTGTGGATGGGATCGGGACGGTTCAGGTCAGGTCTGGATGATTGCCCGACTCGTCGCCTGAAAAAAAAATCATGTTTGTTTTTGAGGCAACGAGTCGGGCACGATCGACTTGTGCCACGATAGCTGCTTTGCACCATCTATCTGGTGAGTAAACCAACCTGACCCCCCAATATTCCGGCTTGGACTGCATCATCTTCTAGCTAGATCTAGATTCTAGAGTAAATCAATCGTAAACATGATCGTCTGATTACTTAGCTTGCTCTGTTTCGTAGCACCAGGAAGATAGATCTAGTATAAAAATGTGTGAAAGACTGTAAATCTTAGGCTAGAAAGGTAGATCTAGATATGAATCGATTCATCCAGAAAACCCGTAAAGGGGACGTTCAAATATAATCTTAAGCCTGGAGAAAAAAAGGGGGGGGGGGGTCTTCAACAAGTGTAAGATTACACTTTTGTAAGGTGAAACAAATAACAAGGAAAATAATTTATGACAAAATAAATTTTTTTTAAATAACATGAAAAAGAGTAACAATACTGGATTCTATTCACTTACAGTGGTAAGCACTGCATTGTGGCGTTACAGTAGGTCCTCGAGCAGCAAATACAATATATGCCATTCGCACTTTATACACTGGTAGATATAGGATCTAGGCTATGTAACAAGTAGATCTAGTCTAATTTTGATTACCCCGTTGCGGTTAAAGTGGTAAAATGTAAAGTTACACCGTAATTTTTTCCGGAAAGGTTCTGCTTGTACCGTATTTAATTATTGTCACATGTGAGTATGCATGTTTTTCATGAATACCATTATGTAAAAGTAACGCATAGAAGAGTGATTTGCGCAATATAAAAGTCATATTATTATTATAAGCGAATGATGTAGTAATAGGGGATTTTTTTGGGGGGGGGGGGGGGGGGGGGAATGAAAAAAAAAAATAAAAAGTCCCGTGGGGGGGGGGGGGGGCCACGCTGATCACACCTGCCCAACATCAACGAGAGTTTAAGGACATGACACAAACTGTTTTGTACACCATGCAACCTCCATGCAGGTTTCTTTTTTTTGGGGGGGAGGGGGGTGGTAGACATTCATATCTAACTTTTAATTTTGATCTAACAAAACTCATGTCGGTTACTTTGATTGCAAAGAGCATACCAACAATGTATTCCAATAGTTCCATAATATTTTTTAGCTATACAATCTTGCAACTTTTGTTAATTTTTCTTGCAACTTTTGCTATTTTCAAATGCAACTTTCTCTGAGGACAGATAATGGGAAACAAGCGGAATTCTTTTTCAATAGAACAAAATATAATAATCAATTACTACAAGGCTTCTCAGTTTAAATTACTCACAAATACTACTGTGGTCAAAGGGAGCAACAGAAAGAGACAGAGACCATGTGTTCGAGTGCAGCTATAATACTGAAATGATCAAATCTGAGATCATGGTGAGTGTCAATAATACATTATTTACTTTGCTGTCACCTTTTTGAAACATTTGCTTAAAGTCAATGAGACATTTTTGTTATCTTAAAACTCACCCAAGATGGTCCAAAGGCAAGACATGGGAGACCTTGTCTCTCAGCTCCCTGAGGGAAGAGCGAGCCTCCAGTTCTGCCATAGCCAGAAAGAACCGATCAGCCACTACCTTGAGGCAACATTCAGGGGAGTTGGGCTCCTGGGTAACTTGGCTAGGCTGAGCAGACGATGACGTAGCCATTGAGTCCGAATGTGAAATGGTGGGAGGAGCTATCTTTGCTTGGTCTGCCTTCCCACACGGTGGACTGTCAATGGTACGTCCATCAACACATTTCTCGAAATAGTCTCCACTGTCATGAAACTCCTCCTCATCATCAGAACTTTCAGAATTATTTTTTTGTCCATCCTTCGCTTTATTACTGAAAGACGTATGGGTAGGAGGTGACGGTACAGACTTCGAGTCTACATTCACGGGAAGCGAAGAAGCGTGCCTGGGCGAGGTTGGTGGGATATTTACAGGAGACTGGTCTCCAGCGGTGAAAGACTTTGGCTGTTCCTGCTCTGAAGACACAGAGGGAAGGTGCTGGTGGAGGGAGGAGCTGGACCTGAGAGCAAAGGGGTCAGATTTGGGTTCCTCCATCAGAACTGTGACAGTGAAGAATGGAATGGTCAAGTTGACCACTTTGCTGTCCTCGCTGTGATCTTCCATAAGCAAACTAGCACTGCGTTCTGCCAAAAAAAACAAAAACATGAGATGATCATGATAACATATTAAAATGTCCATGATGTAAAAGACAAAAGACATGATAACGATGAAAATATAGCGAATCATGGAAATACTACAGAACTGCCCAACCAGACATTATTAAACTTCAAAGTAAAGCCTATGAAAAAATAGCTACATAAGGCAAAAGAATGTCAACTTGTTAGAAATATCTGCAACTGTGCATCAGAACGAAGGAACATACACCAGGCACGTATATTCGGTCGGTCTCTTTTAACGTCCCATAACTTAAACATCACCATATGTGTTTACATATTTAACGTCAAAATGTTATGTTCAGCACAGGTGATTTGTAAATTTTGGTTACTCTGACTTGCGATCAGAAAACAAGAGCACAAGGTCTGTAACTCAGCATGAACAAATCCAGCAAATTTGTATTTTCAAAACTTTTTGGTCCTTAACATTTTGCCCCCCAAAGGACATCAATCAGCGATGGTAAAAAGTTGTCACTTTTCCTCACAGGACTAATTGGCGACAGTGTGATAAATCAGCAAAAAAAGTCGAAGCAATGATCTCCTTTGACAAGCACACTTGTTTAAGTTATAAATTTCTTCCTGACTGGTTTGTGCGGCTTTTGAGATCACAAATCAGTTTGTTTACAACAATTAGAGTGAAAGTCTTTGAAAAAGGTTGAGTAGATCTAATATGAGTACGGGAGCCGTCATGATGACGAGAATTCAGGTGATGAAAGTGCTGGATAAAATATTTTTTGTTTCAATTTTTTTATTCCTACTTTGATGAAGACGCGATCATCACGTTCAATTTTTTCAATGAGCTGAAAATTTCAAAAGGTTTGGGTTTTTTGCCAAGACACAGGAATAACACAGATGTACCATGTCAGCTTCCTTGTAGGTGAGGCCCTCTACATTTAATGTGGGGGGAAAAGTGTTAAGCTCTTCTTTGTGTCAACTAGCATCAGTTTCACTTTGCCCCTTTCGACTTCTTGACCAAAGTATTTAACAGTGCTTCCAATAACCATGGCAAAAAAGTATTGAAAATCCTATGCCAGGGGTCAAGGGGCCACAACTAAAATTGAGTGCTTTTAGAGGGTTGAAAATGGAATTTGGGAGCCTGTTTTCAGAGACTGCCAACAACCCATTACACCCTTTTTCTTTCATTAAGATTTGGCAATTTACTTCCTTCATCAAGTTCTCGAGCTAAGGGAAGCACATGACACAATACTGATCACATAGTGCAGAGAAAAATAGTCAGACAGGCACAAATAACAGAGGGAAAGAAAAGAAGTAGGACCTTCCAGTGGCGCCCTCTAACCAACTGCATGATTTCTTCATCTAATAATAATAATAACAAGCTCGGCCCCCTTTCAATGAAAGGAAAGATCGGCACATTAACATCAACTGAAAGTCATTGGCCTACTATATTTACACTCTACTGGAAGGGAGCAATAAATCTGGAGAGAAAAGTGGCACATGTGTTTCCAAGTTGCCAAATATATAATAGACAAAGGAGTCCAGAAAAAGCGATGATGGGCATCAAATGAAAGGATCACAGTTGTAAAAAAAGAAAATATGAGGCTAGATCTATTCGGGTTGCACACTTGAAATAATGCTTAGTATTGCGCCATAATGCGCGATGGTATCAAACGGAAGTACGACTTGAAATAAACAAACCTGGCGGATTTTCTAAAATTACAGAGACAGAAGCGTCAGCCTACAAAGCGATTGGCGAAATATAGAAACTTGACTTTTAGAAGCAAAACTGTCTCAAAACTGAAAAAAACGAAGGGCGTCATGATCTGGAGAATATGTTAAAGAATCTTTTAGCGAAAACCGCATGTCGATCGATGAAGCCATTAAAAAGCCTTATGAATAGCAAAATTCGGCCACCACAAATAGATAATAGATAATAATAATAATAGATAGCATTTGTATAGCATAAATCCCCGCTCAACAGCAAGCTCTATGTGCTTCACAATCTATACTATTACATAATTACCCCAGCAGACCTGAGAGCATTCTGAAACAACCTCAACTTCCTGGGAAGCATACAGTGCGAGCAGCCAATTTATAGGCGCTAAAACACTAACATACTGACAAGATCTTTCGCTGTCTATGGCCAGGTACCCATTCCCACCTGGGTGAAGTGAGGAAAATTCGTGCAAAGTGCCTTTCCCAAGGACACAACGTCGGGCCCCAGCTCGAACCACCCCACGATTACGAGTCCGGTAGCCCTAACCACTAGGCCACCGACATATCTTTCCTTTGCTCGCAAAGTTTAAAAGCAAGTTACCCTTGCCACTGCCACTTTAATTCAATTTATTCATCATCGCACCATTGGCAGATGGCAAATTTTGGAACATCAATCTTGATGAAATGGTCACCCAATATATATACCTCAATTTTCCTCCATCTTCACGTTCAAATGCCAAATGTCACAACCTTGGAGCACCACTTCTAAGAATGCTAGATTTTGGCATCAATTTCTTTATCATGCTCCGATAGAATTCTCAAACTGATCATTTCTCTAGACAGATTTGGATAAAAAGTTTCTTTCTGATAAAGATTTTCTTTCTAAAATCATAATTCATCATTTTCTTCTTCAAAGTACATATTTTTCTGGGGTAACAAAGATCCAAAAATATAAAAAATGAGTAAAGAAGAAAAAAAGATGAAAAGCCATTGATACTTACCTCTATTACGCTTGGCATGGGAGTAGCCACTAACTGTGGATACAAATACAAAACAAGTTATAGCAAACACTCTAAAATAAAAATGAGACTTACACCGGATAACAAACAGTACAGCCAGATAACGGACAATAAATACCCATGGACAAAGAAACCAAGAACTGCCTCTACTAATTACTGTGGACTATAGAATTCATAATCTAATTTTTTAAAATTATGTTACAAGTGATAAATTTATTTGTACAACAATCACACGGTGCAAAAAAGGGAAAAAGAAAAATCCTTTTGTTACATCAGTCTATTTAATGAGAATGCTCAAAGTTTTACGAAAGTTGGGAAAAAAATGTTCTTAAAACAGAAGACAGATCATGGATAAATGATAAAAATCTTATAATATCCTCTTCAACCGTGACATACTATTAAGTCCCCTATCAACACTGTTATGTAATTTTGGAGGTGAGACCTCTGAATTTAATGTCCATCTCCAAAAGGACCAAGCCAAATAGGAAATTCGTGTCAAATACCTTAGAGTCCAAAAACTCTCCGCTCATTCTTTTGGTACATATGACATAATTTGAAAATCTTTATTTTAAAAGTTCTTCAAACACTTCAAATAGTGAATTAGGTGACTTTGGGGTAAAACTCTTGGAAAACCCAAATAGGCAAAGAGAAATCTCCAAAGGCATGTAACCATGTAATAAATTAAGTCTTTGTTTCAATGAAGAAATAAATACTAGGCAGTGACGTATGTCGATATATTTTAAAGCAGAAGTTGGACAGCAAAAGACAACAAAAAAATGAAGTTAACTTGCAGCTTTATTTCTTTCATACTACTGAAACCACTTACCATTACTAGAAGTGAATGTGGAGTGACCAGCAAATGTACTGACCGATGCAGTGTCACTGATGTCAAAGCCGGTCGCCTGACCCTTATATGTGGGGTCCACAGTTGAGTAGAACATATCGTTATCTGACAACATGCTTGCTGCAAAGACAATAAAAATTCAAATGACAAATATAAGTCATCTTCTTAATACAACAGGAGCAAGAACTATGATTAACTGATATCAATAGGATAGAAATAATCTTAACATTCTCAATGCAATACAGAAAGCTCTGACATAAGAATTCAAACTTCTTGTTTACATTTTAAAAAAGAGACGATGGCATTTTCAACCTTTTGCATCAACATAAACTGATGCATTGATCATTAGTGAAAACTGACCTGAGCTGGCCCCATGCATCAGCTCAATGTGATCTGTTGTTGACAATTGTGGGACAGAGATATGATCAACAAGACTGTTCTGGCGGCTGTCTTCCTCAGCAAATTTGCGACAGAACGCAAAATCTTCCAACGTCATTGGCTCCTGGACAGCACCCTGTTGCCTGCCTGGTGACGCAAGATACAGTTTAAGGTTATGTACAAAAAGAATTATTTGAGTACTCAGTTCCCTTTGACATAATATTAGCAGTCACCATCATCATCTCCAGAGAAGTGTATACCCCAACCAAGATCTGAAGAATGTTGATTAAAGGCACAAACATGTAAATTTGCAGTTTCCAAGGACTCTCAAGCTATGGAAGTGACCAAACTTTGGCGCCTATTTTCTCGATAATTTTACCTCTGAAACGAGGCGACCCTGACCTCCTTGAATCGCAAATATATCGACGTTTTCAAAATAGAGGGACATTTTTTCATCGACAGAAAGGCAAGAGAACAAATTTTAAGATGATACCAATAACTCCACAGGCCCAAAAATTGACAAGTGCCTGGTTCCACTGTGTCGTGAAACAAATACCTATTACCATTAATATATGCTTACTTTGACAAGACCAGCTAAATTAAGCTAAATGAAATAAGACAAGAGTAAAGTGTGCACAGGTTCAACACTTACATTTAAAGAGAAAATGTCCCCACCAAAAAAAACAACCAAACAACTTTCCAACAATATGGCCAGCAATTTGGACAAGTGTAAAGTAAAATAATAGCACTCTTGCAATTACTATTATTTAGCAGTCCAAGCGTAAGATAAACCTCGTATAAGGGAGAATTCTTACTGACCTCAATATCGTTAAAGATTTAAAAATAAAGAACAAGATACCTGTAGACTTTTTGGAGCCAAGCATCTCAGTTAAAAGTCCCAGAAGTTTGGGAGACAGAAGCACGTGGAGGGTCTCCATTGTCCAAGTCACATCGACCTGTTGGTAATAAGGACAAAGTTAAGTTTTCAGTTTCAATACGAGGTTTATGGCACTGGCAACAAAATTAGGCCATAAAAGTGCCAAAAAGAAGAGGTTTCTAAAAGAATAACATAAAAAGAAAAGTTAATTTTTTTTAAATGATAGACATTTAACAGAAAAGAAGGGGCAAACCACACCAGAGTAACTGCCAGCCATCCACAAAGGAAAGCAAATAAGACCAGATATCATTAGAAAAACTCGACAGAAAAGAATACTGCTTCTAAAGAGCCAGGTTCCTTTGCTGGCAAGTTAATTCTTCTCCTATTATAGTAGTGACAATCTGGTTTTCATGCATTACCAAGCTATTTCGTCATATTAAAAAATAACCAACTCTTCCTGTGACTTAAAATACATTCCCATAGACTGAGAAATGAATTTTCAACCTGTCTTTGTTTGGTCTAGATCACTTCCCAGGCTGAATTTTTATGTATTTTCAAAGTCTCTTTGGATTTGTCTACGTTTCAATTCCATCTCACTCTCCATTTCATCATATTTGCTTTAAAAATTCATGCGCACACTATTTCTGGGTTAATTCAATCATTCAAAACCTTGAAAAAAAAAGAACAACTTTACTGTCACTTTGTAGCCTGATTTTAATTCAATTCTAATTTGACATTCTTCCTAAACCTCATAAAAATGCATACCATCGCAGTGTCATGCACTCGGCGCTTGAGATGGCGTGCAACTCCCCTCCAGACACTAATCAATAGACTCTGCGCAACACCGCTGTATGTGCTAAATGGTTAAAAAAAAAAAAGCTGAGAAAACATTCCACTCACTGATGGTCCTGAGAGCTGTTCGTTATTCTTTGTCTGGATAAACAGCATCTGTTTCTTGTCCATGTTCACGATGGGGATGCGGCATTTAATCCGTTGCTGCATGCGTTCAGACACGGAGATGGTCTTCTGTTTTTGTTGTTGTTGCTCCTGAGGAAACAGCTGGCTGCTGTCCATGCCCGGGTAGAAGGACTGGGTCATGGAGGAGTTTGTCATGTAGCTGCCAGAGTTGGGAGGGGAGCTCATGGCAATATTGAAGGCCTGTATCAAAAGATGAGTAAAAATGTAGACACAGTATTCTTTTTATCACATTTGTCATATCGAGAACTGAAAATTTAATCCTCACTAATGCAATAGCTTGAATGTTAAGAACTTAAAAAGAGATTTTACTACACTTGAGTGTTAATGTGACTATAATTTTGGTATAAATAAGTAATCATATATGAACAAATGTTGTTACTTTGCATATTCAACAATCTCAAGTCATGAACTTAAATAACCAAACTATCACACGCTGAAAAACTTTGAGACATGGGAGATTTTCTTTTGGAGGGGGGTGCAGTGTCATATTCGATAATAATAATAATCGATACCGATCCGGATATGACGTTGTAATCAATCCTAAAGAAATAAACTATTGCATTCTGGGTTACCGAAATGGCTGCCTCAATGTTCTTTACCGTTATCCCTATGTGCGTCTCACGTCTTGTTATGAATCAAACAATGATCTAAAGAACCCAACAAACACAACATGGTGTCAGAAATGGTAATAGGTCTGTATTAAAATGTTTTATAGGAATTTCCCGTTTTATATTCTTCCTTGACCAAGAGATCAAGTAGTTTTGAAAGCTCATTCAACACTTTGGGAGTGCGAGACAAGGTGTCGTCTCACTCGTTAGAAAGGGCAGACAATCTAGATATTCTGGAGAATTGGGAAAACTAAATCTGAGCCTACAAAAGGACGATCAGAGTCAAATACGCAGATCTATTAAGATTAAGAGAAGTAAAACTCAAGTGAAATGGAGTTCAAACCTCCTGAACCTTTAGAGTTTCAAGGGGATTTATCACAAAACTGGAAACTATGGAAACAAAGATTTGAAAATTACATGACTGCCAGAGAAGTTCATAGAAAGGGGGATGACATAAAAATAGCAACCCTGCTGCACAGCATTGGAACTGAAAGCCTCGAGCGGTATAATCAGTTTGAATACACTGATGATGAAGATGCCAAAAAGTTTGAAG